CGTTTTGTATTACCAGGCCAATAATTCAACCCATTATGCCTGGTAAAAGTCAAATTTTCAGAAAATTTAGCTTTTCAGGTTTACATGTTCGTCTGTTTGAGATCACGTCTCGTAGCAACACGAAATCTATACGGGCTAAATCTATCCTTGTTTAACCATGAGTATTCTGGTTTGTAATCTGATGTGTTTTGAACATATATTCAGATAGATGCCCACCCACTGAATACCGGGAGTCTCAAAGGGCACGAAGGTCGCGCACGTCACATGCGTGCGGCTTCAGACGTTCTCGAAGGTATCTGGCAAGGCTTGCTCACACTTAGAAGGAGCCATGCTGAATGTTATCATCGCGGGTGTCAACTGACCCGATCTGGATAGCACCTTGCCACCGGTGACCGAGGCGCCAGGCACTGGTGGGCCATCGTTGCCGGGTCTGCCGTATCGCGGTCTCCCTCCTCTCCTCTCCCACCATTGTCTCTCTCCTCCCCTCTCCCATCATTGTCCCTCTCCTCCCTTCCCCCACTGCCGTCTCACTCTTCTCCTCTCCTCTTCCACCTTTGTCCCTCTCCTCCCCTCTCCACCGTTGTCTCTCTCCTCTCTTCCCCTCTCTCAATTTTGTCTCTCTCCTCTCCTCTCCCACTTTTGTCTCCCTCCTCTCCTCTCTCTCATCTTCGTCTCTCTCTCTCTTCTCCTCTCCCAACGTTGCCTCTCTCCTCTGCCACCTTGTTTCTTTGTCTCTTTATTCTCACACCTTTGCCTCTCGTTCTCTGTCACCTCTGCCTCTCTCCTCCCCTCTCCCACATTTGTCTCTGTCTCCTCTCCCACTTTTGTGTCTCTCCTCCCCTCTCCGACCTTTGTCGATGCCGATTGCTTCTCGGCGGTGTGTGTCTGCTGTGTTGGAGGGTCCAGATCAGTATCATCGCTCTGCAAGTTTTATATTGTATTCAATGTGTCATTAACTGAGGTGCCACTCGACCTCGTTCGATCACTGCTCTAGGCGATTGTGTTCTAACCAGGTGACGCCAAACATGCCTCATGGGTTATCTCACTACTTGTTAGTCTTTGTCCACGTTAAGGTGTCAGCGCCTTCAGCATTCGACGTTTCCGTTCGTGATTCCCAACCGTCATGGATTTGTGGCTGTACGCTTCTTTTGAGCTTAAAATACTTGAGGCACCCACAGCTGTCGTGGTCCAGTTCTTAAAAGATAACCACCTGGCATTGCTCTACGAAAAATGTGTGCCACCAGAATTACTGGGAGCAAAGGGAAGGCAAGCAGATTAAGAGCTCAAAGTTGTGCTGAGTTAACGACTTCCAAGGTATCAGGAGCACTGGTTAAACAACGCTGCAATGCTACTTAATGATTATATGGTCGGTGTTCAGTATTTCGAGCCGTGCTCATTTGAACTCATAATGCCGAAAAGATATGAGCTGAAGGCCTGTCTTGCTTATATCAGGAAAGCCGATACTATCCCTACCCCTCCATGGTGCATTGTTCTAACAGGCCCGTGTCAAACTTCTGTTTTGCGACATTCTAGGCCTTTCCGCTGATAATGCCGATATTCAATATGCCTCGAATCTGAAGGTGTAATACGTCGTTAAGCATTATCAAAATCTATTTCAAAGTTTCCTTGACTCTGTCTTTTGATCGATTGCTCCTGGCATGTTGAAGGTTCCTAGTTTCAACTTAAAAATTGTCTAAATTAGTCGGTAAATTAGTCCGCGAGCAAGCGCTTGAAATCGTTTTAGAACTGATGCGGCGATTGGCTTCAGATCTCACACAGAGGCTGAAATAGCCCCACCCACACAGATCAAGGTCCACAGGTTCTGCAAAGTGGCAGGATCCGGGGGATCGGCCTTACAGAAAAGCTGTCCTGAGTCAAAGAAATAGAATGGTCTCAAACATTTTACCGACGCATGTGACACCTCTGCAAGATGTTTGTTGTCGCATCGTAACAGCCGGGAAGACCCTCGACAAGACCGATTTGAGTACCTTTGCAAATGCGTTTGACTTAATTGCGTTAATTCGGCGTCATCCGCGTGGTAAAAGCGCTCATGAGTGTCATCCTGCGCAGCACAGCGTCCCGCACGGGCTTGCTGTCTGGTGTTGTTTTGCCTGCTTTCCTGCAGGTCCTGTCCTGTGATTGTGTTTGCACTGTGCTGCTGGCCGCGCCGTTCGGCAGCCGGGGCTGCGCGGGCATTCGGGGGGTGCCGGGAGCCAGCCACTGCGAGTCGGGGCTGCGCGGGCGTTCGGGCGGTGCCGGGAGCCAGCCACTGCGAGTCAGGGGCGCGGGTTCGGGCGGTGCCGGAGCTAGCCACTGCGAGTCGGAGGCGCGGGCGTTCGGGCGGTGCCGGGAGCCAGCCACTGCGAGTCGGGGCTGTGCGGGCGTTCGGGCGGTGCCGGGAGCCAGCCACTGCGAGTCGGGGCTGCGCGGGCGTTCGGGCGGTGCCGGGAGCCAGCCACTGCGAGTCGGGGCTGCGCGGGCGTTCGGGCGGTGCCGGGAGCCAGCCACTGCGAGTCGGGGCTGCGCGGGCGTTCGGGCGGTGCCGGGAGCCAGCCACTGCGAGTCGGGGCTGCGGGGCGTTCGGGCGGTGCCGGGAGCCAGCCACTGCGAGTCGGGGCTGCGCGGGCGTTCGGGCGGTGTCGGGAGCCAGCCACTGCGAGTCGGGGCTGCGCGGGCGTTCGGGCGGTGTCGGGAGCCAGCCACTGCGAGTCGGGGCTGCGCGGCGTTCGGGCGGTGTCCGGGAGCCAGCCACTGCGAGTCGGGGCTGCGCGGGCGTTCGGGCGGTGCCGGGAGCCAGCCACTGCGAGTCGGGGCTGCGCGGGCGTTCGGGCGGTGCCGGGAGCCAGCCACTGCGAGTCGGGGCTGCGCGGGCGTTCGGGCGGGTGCCGGGAGCCAGCCACTGCGAGTCAGGGCTGCGCGGGCGTTCGGGCGGTGCCGGGAGAGCCACTGCGAGTCGGAGCTGCGCGGCGTTCGGGCGGTGCCGGGAGCCAGCCACTGCGAGTCGGGGCTGTGCGGGCGTTCGGGCGGTGCCGGGAGCCAGCCACTGCGAGTCGGGCTGCGCGGGCGTTCGGGCGGTGCCGGGAGCTAGTCACTGCGAGTCGGAGCTGCGCGGGCGTTCGGGCGGTGCCGGGAGCCAGCCACTGCGAGTCGGGGCTGCGCGGGCGTTCGGGCGGTGTCGGGAGCCAGCCACTGCGAGTCGGGGCTGCGCGGGCGTTCGGGCGGTGCCGGGAGCCAGCCACTGCGAGTCGGGGCTGCGCGGGCGTTCGGGCGGTGCCGGGAGCCAGCCACTGCGAGTCGGGGCTGCGCGGGCGTTCGGGCGGTGCCGGGAGCCAGCCACTGCGAGTCGGGGCTGCGGGGCGTTCGGGGGCGGTGTCGGGAGCCAGCCACTGCGAGTCGGGGCTGCGCGGGCGTTCGGGCGGTGCCGGGAGCCAGCCACTGCGAGTCGGGGCTGGCGGGCGTTCGGGCGGTGTCGGGAGCCAGCCACTGCGAGTCGGGGCTGCGCGGGCGTTCGGGCGGTGCCGGGAGCCAGCCACTGCGAGTCGGGGCTGCGCGGCGTTCGGGCGGTGCCGGGAGCCAGCCACTGCGAGTCGGGGCTGCGCGGGCGTTCGCGGGGTGCCGGGAGCCAGCCACTGCGAGTCGGGGCTGCGCGGGCGTTCGGGCGGTGCCGGGAGCCAGCCACTGCGAGTCGGGGCTGCGCGGGCGTTCGGGCGGTGCCGGGAGCCAGCCACTGCGAGTCGGGGCTGCGCGGGCGTTCGGGCGGTGCCGGGAGCCAGCCACTGCGAGTCGGGGCTGCGCGGGCGTTCGGGCGGTGTCGGGAGCCAGCCACTGCGAGTCGGGGCTGGGCGGGCGTTCGGGCGGTGTCGGGAGCCAGCCACTGCGAGTCGGGGCTGTGCGGGCGTTCGGGCGGTGCGGGAGCCAGCCACTGCGAGTCGGGGCTGCGCGGGCGTTCGGGCGGTGTCGGGAGCCAGCCACTGCGAGTCGGGGCTGCGCGGACGTTCGGGCGGTGTCGGGAGCCAGCCACTGCGAGTCGGGGCTGTGCGGGCGTTCGGGCGGTGCCGGGAGCCAGCCACTGCGAGTCGGGGCTGTGCGGACGTTCGGGCGGGTCGGGAGCCAGCCACTGCGAGTCGGGGCTGCGCGGACGTTCGGGCGGTGCCGGGAGCCAGCCACTGCGAGTCGGGCTGCGCGGCGTTCGGGCGGTGCCGGGAGCCAGCCACTGCGAGTCGGGGCTGCGCGGACGTTCGGGCGGTGCCGGGAGCCAGCCACTGCGAGTCGGGGCTGCTGCGGGACGTTCGGGCGGTGCCGGGACAGCCACTGCGAGTCGGGGCTGCGCGGACGTTCGGGCGGTGCCGGGAGCTAGGCACCGCGGGGACTGCCACCAAGACTGCAGTTCAATCCCTGCGTGGTGACGCCTGCGGGACTTTGCGCGAGAGGGATGGCTTGTATACACCTGTGAGACGGACGACTTGCGCTTTTTCGACATCACGGGACATGCGATCTACCGTAGTTTAGTGGCGTTGCCCACTACGTGGGCGCTGTTTAATCACGGCTCAGACCACAGGCATCTGTTTGACCGCATGCCACTGCTCACAGGCCATATCGCATAGCTGTGCTGTCGGCACCCGTGGCCAGTGACGTGTGAACATCTTTAAAGCTATAAGAAGAAGGTCAGCTTCTCAGCTTCTCAGGGGTACAGTAGTCGCTGCGCAACTCCAACTGAATTGGACTGCTGCTTACATAAGCTCCCAAGGCTGTGGGCAGCTGCCGGGCGCCCTGCTCCGTGGCGCGAGCCGGCGCCGCTCCTGCTGACCTCTGACCCTGTGCCGGCCCGCCCCTGCAGGTGGCAGGCCGCCATGAGGACCGCTGCATTGCTGACCATGACGCTGCTGCTGCACACCGGCGCTGGCGTGCTCTCGCTGCTGCTGCGGCCGCCGGAGACGCTCGGCTGGGGGCTGGCGCCCAACCAGCTGATGAGCCGCTCCGGGCCGCTCGCCACGCTCGCTATGGTCTCACACGCCGCCGCCATCGACGCGTCCATGGCGTTCGACCCCAACCTGCCGGCCGAGCTGCACCGCGCCGTGCCGCGCGAGATCGCCGACACCATGTCACCCTTTGCCCGCGGCGCCGGCTTCGGCTTCGGCGAAGACGTCCAGGTGAAGACGCACTTTGCAGTGCCGGTGGCGCCCGCTCCTGCGCCGGCGCCGCCCGCGCTCGGGCTGCAGCGCCATAGGAACGCGCTCGGTCTCGGCGACTCTGGCGCGCCACCGCCGGCGCCGGGCGGCGTGCTGTTGAAGAACGGCGCCGGCCTGGCCGGGGCGGGGCCCTGCCCCGCCGGCGGGGCGGTGATCACCGACCCCGACCACGCCGGCTGGATGAGGAGCCGCGGCGAGCTGCCGGTGGCGGCTGGCTCGGCGTCGCACCCGCTGATGTGCGGCGGCCCGGCGGTGGCCGGCCCCTCGGGCCGCGTGATCCCTCCGCGCAGCCGAGATACGCCGCCCGGCCTGATGACCAGGGACGTCCGGCTGTCTCGCCAGCAGGAGAAGGACATCATCCCGCCGCGCTCGCCTGACTACGTCACACGCTTCCGCGAGCCGCCGCCTGGCGGCCTGCTCCCGGAAGGTCGGGCGCGCGATCCTCGCCGGCCGACAGGCGCCCGACGACTGCGCCCTCAAGCTCGAGGGCAGGTGAGTACCGGGCGCTGTGTCGCTCGTCCGGTGCAGGAGCGGCAGGCGTAGTCGTGCGTGTCACAGGTCTAGCACGTGGCTGCAGCGTACGTGAGATGGCTGAATGGTCTGTCCATGGAGGCTGGTGTCCGCATGAGCGTTCCTGCAAGATCGATGTCCGTATAGGTTTTGTAAACGTTTAGTGAGGTGTGGGTTACCGGGCATACCTGGTCCTGGATGGACGATTATGTGCGGTTCAGCGCGGACATGAACACTTGGATGAGCGACCGATGCCACTCGAGCGTCAGAGCGAGGCGTGAGCGCTCCTCGTACCGTGAACGGCACTGGTACATCAAACCGAAGGAGACTGTCGGCTAACGCAGAGTCAAGGGAGCAAACAAATCTCGCAAACGTCGATGAATTGAAAATCAAGCCGAAAAAAACAGACAAACTTGAGAACCTAATTGACTTAAAATAGGTAGTTATTTAGCCTAGTCTTTTCGTTTTCGGTTCGATAATGTTTGATTACCACCACACCTTTCGACGCAACAGCCAGATACGTATTTGTCAGTGACTGTTTTTTTCATTTGAGCTGCATTTTAATGTCAGCTTGTTCTGGATGCCACAACTTACAAATCCCAGCAATCAAAACACCATCGTAGCTAGAATATAGTTGAGAATCTTCGCACACGTCCATGAGTTATCCATCGCGTGTTCACCATCAAAACCTTTAACGAAATCGGCATACGGTGATTTATCTGTCGGAACTAATCTGCATAGGAGTGCGTGAATACACCCTCTTACTAAAACCTCACCCGCGTTGTGAGGTTTGTTAAAACTTACCTAGGTCAAACCTCGCCCGCCAAGGTCAAACATGGTGCAGTATGGACGCGCGGCGAGAAATCGAGTCTCGGAAAAACCACCTTTCACTGTTGCTACGAACCGTGTTTCATTAGTTTTCATTGCGTACTTTAACTGCAGCGATATACATAATAATATTGTTCTGGCGGGGAATACGGCAGAAATCAAAGGGCATTGCTCGCAGTGTTGTAAACCAGTGCCTTTTGTGTTGCTGCATTGTAGTGCTGGCGCAATGTTCAATTAGACCATGATTACGCCCCTTGGCGTCGCGTTACCCGACAGCATGGTGTCCCCTGCGGTATGATGCACCAGTGCCGTTCGCGGCACCAGGATACACAAATTTCGGCGTAATACAACATTTTGGGGTGGTACAGCATTTTGAAAGTCAAGCGAAATCCGTCGCCGCACTTCCTCAAGGCCGCCTGGTTGCATGTTCGCTGACTGCACACTGCGCAGAGCAAAGAAATATATCAAAAGATACGTTCAAGCAAGGAGGCGTACTTTGATGTTCGAGGAACAACACAATAGTTCCTGTTTCAAACAATGCTGTATGCGTTTTACGAGGTAATTTGTGCGTGATAATGCCAACTGCTTGACCTATTTCAACGCATCTGGATAACTTTTTCTAATTTTTAGATTGTATTATCCTTTCCCTGCGTGACGTCTTTATTTGGGGCCTCCATCCGGGATTCTATTGTACGTCCACTTCTGGTTCAACTACTGGACAAAAGTCATTTGCTTAGGAGTATATGCAAAGAAAACTACGCCAACTCCATCTGCTTCTTGATGGCCCGTCTTTTCTCGTAAAGTGTTCCTTCTTTAGTTGAGAAAACTCGGCGATGTTTGAACCTTTGCACGGCACCCAGGTGGGAGCGGGGGGGGGGGGGAAGGGGGGGGGGGGGTAACACTTAAATTTGAACTAAGTCCCATGTGCAGGACTTCAGCCACATCGTTGAGGCAAGTTCAGCTAAAGAAAATATCGAAAGCGTGACGATATTTCCGTTGTCCCTTTTGTCGGGCTGAAAATATGTTTTAGGGAACCAGATAAATCGCCTCGCTTTCGACATTGCTCTTTTGGATGTTTTTGACGTTTCCCAGCCTGGCTGGTGTGTAGTCAAACGAGGTGGTGTATTAAATTAAGTCCAGGACACATCTATCATTAGTTTTATATCAATGGGAAATTTGGACTTGTGTTTTTGGTAGGCACAAACAGCAGCGCATATTTCCACTCCAGGCGCGATTCCTACGTTGAAGAAATCGTGTTCAGTGATCAGGGAACTGAGCTCCTGGTGGGGGTGGGTGCCGCGTAGCCGTGTTCCTGAGAAATGGTGCTATGACATCATCACGTGACGTATTACACCCGCTTCTGAGCCTCGGCAAACAATGGCATTGTGTAATGCAGTTATGACCTGTAGCAATGCGGAGCACGTACAGATCGTTAGTTCGAATGTATTCAGTGGGTCTGATAATGGTATGCCGCTGATCAAAGTGCACGCTATGTGCTATAATGAACTGTAAAATGGTAACGTTTTCCATCTGTTTCAGAGACTGCGTTACATACGGAGCAATTGAAGCTGCTTTCCAAGAAGCGGTTGAACGTACGGGTAAGGCGAACGTTGAACGTGGTTCATGGAAATTCCCCCAAATGGATGTACAGAAGCATGCAATAATACGCTAAGTGGAGGTTCTGGGGTACACAAGTGCCTGATCCAAGTATTTTAAGATTGCACAGTAGGACCGCGCCCTGCGGGGAAGGCAGCTGCGTCCCGCCTCGGAGCACAGCCCCGTCAGCGGTCAGAAAGCTGACTTAAACCATTGCGTAAGGCAAAAACAGGCACAACTCGCGCACAGAAAAAGATGGGCTTTTTGATTTTAGAAACGAGAACGTTACCCAGCCTGCATGAATGGTGTCTCTGTAATGGAAAGACCTTGCAATATCACAACCCAACTGATATGCACGTCTCGTCACAAAATTCCGAAGGATTCTCTGCGTGGTGTAGCACGTTCCGACTGACGGCTTCATCCGTGCCCACGTGTTCTAGCCTTGGATCTGCCCCGCGGCGAATGGCTGCCACCAAACGTGGGTACCGTCGGGAGTGCCATCCTGAGGGCTTCCATGAGCATAGCGAGGAGGTGAGCCCACGGCGCCACACTGTGGCTCCCCATCACTGCAACACGCCTCTTCGGATGCAATATTTGTATAAACTGGGGTGTACTGAGGAACGCATGTGTTACAGCGCAGCTTACGAACAGGCCCTCCTTGCGTTGCTGCGCCAATGTTTTATCTGGGAATGTTGAGCTCCTGTTGAAATACTGTTGATCGCAGTCAGAGGTACAGGCCACTACGCTACGTGTTCGAGCGCTTGTTTATCTAACTTTACATGATACTCATAGACAAAGCGATGAAACTACACAAATGTGTGTTTGTTGCGTGATTGTTGGTGGCAGTGAGGTCGTGGTAAGGGCGCAGCAAGCGAGGGCAGGGGGGCACGTCATCCTTAGTTCCCGAGGGGCCAAAGGACCGTCAGGGACGACAATAAAGGGTGCGCATGGAGGGCCAGAGGCCTGAAAGGCTGGCAGCAGGTCGGGTAAGGGGCCACGGCTTGCAGAGATGGGCGTTCAGATGGCAGTCAATGGGTCTCCTGCACCACGACCATTCGGCTCCATGTCGGGTTTGTTCACGGGGCCAAGCATGAACAAAGCCGGGGCCGCGACCGTTATTCGAAAACCTCTCCATTGGTCGCACCCCAAAAACAATCGGGCTCCCCTGTGTCAACCAGGAGTCCGCAGAGCCTAACGGTGGATTGCCGTGTCGACAAGGGGCCTGAGTTGGCCAGGGACTCATTGGCTGAATGGGAACAAGAGGGCCACGTAGAATGTCAGCGAGCCCTTTTCGTTGGTCGGGGCTCCGAAATGATGAGAGAAGGGTCGTGTAACGCGCACGACTGACCGTTCCAAGTCCCCTGGAGACCCGACACATCCGACGCTGAAGACGTCCGACTCTGACACACTGAAGCACCGCGTCGGCGTCCCTCCCGCCTGCCCAACGCTCGAGCACGCGCGCATGCTGTACCGCAACACACCAGGAGCGCTCGCCCGAAGACGGGTGGCGCGCCGCCCGTCCCGCGCTGCGTGAGCGCAGCCCCGGTCCGCTTCAGGTACGAGATGACGCAGTACGAGATCGAGTACGTGCTGCCGCGGGCCGACACCCTGAGCACGTCCATCGCCAACGTGTGTCCCGACTTCGTCACCCCGATCCAGTGCCACCCGAAGCGGTACCGGCGCATCGACGGCCTCTGCAACAACGTCCGCTTCCCCAACTGGGGCGCCACGCGCCGCGTCTTCCAAAGGTGGGTGGCGCGCCGCAGCAGGGTAACTGCATCTGATCCCTGAGGGAGGGCTTAAAGCTGGCTGCAGTTGTGATGCGGTTAGGTCTGGTCCGCCCCGGCCGGACCTACCGTGTCGTTCTGGTCGCAATGACATCTTGTTGACGTTAAACGCTCTAGTTCTATAGAACATCGTTGGCTTAGCTTATGTCAGAGTAAGCCCTTACTCGTAAATCACAGTTAGCAGTGGTACAGGGATCAAAACCACGTTTGCAGGGCCATACAATGGCGTTTGAAGACCCCCGCAAACCACCGACTATTTCCGGGTCCCGGCAGCTCAGCACGGCTGCCCCTGACCTGTCCCAGCGAGAGTGTCGAATTTCTTGTGGGATGGATTGGTGGGGACACGCCAGCACCTTAGAGTCGTGTTTTGACGCCTTTGATTGTGTGGTACCCTGATCCAGTGTGTGAAAACATGCATTGTAGGATGAAGCAAAACTGAGTTCACAACCGATGCATCATATGTACGCTACAGGTAGTGACATTGGTCTTTGATCATGATTTCCAGTGCAAATCTCCAGTTTTTTCCACGTCTTCCCCAGGTTCAAACTTGCATCGCAATTTTGGCCTCTTTATGCTCTGAGTGAAAGATTATTGTCTCCAAAGCAACCCTAGCTGGGGTGTTACACTACCCTGACCGCCGGGGGATTACCAGGGGGCGCGTTATTCTCTTTATGGCCTTGACCGTCCGGGTTGTTCCTTGGCCTCTGATTGTCTCAGAGCCGCAAGTTTCCTTGGGGTCTCAGAGGTCCCTGTTCCGTTCCTGGGCTCAGCGGTCCTTTGGACTCAAAGATTTTGTGGTCATTAGCAACGAGATGGCCACGAGAACTCGGGAGAAATGTATAACAATGAGCTGCCTTATGAATGGGCGCGTTTTCTTGTGACTGGCAACAGGTCTAATATGAACCATGATTATTGGAAAATGAAAGTGCACGCGGAATGCCATTTGCTGTGCAGTTTGTCCATTACCTCTATAAGTAACTGCCTTATCCCCGATTTAGTTTTCCGGTAACATGCGATTTTTCGAGAGATTCTTCACATAATATTGGTGCGAAAATCGTAGCTTAAATGGATTAAATAACATCATTTACAAGAACCTCAATTAAAGTGGCCGAAAGCCGAGGGCCCAATTTCATTTTGACACAGGCAACGCTGTCCTCCGCCCTTGGGGCCCGCAGCTTCAGCGCCTAGAAACCGGACACACTTTTGCAGTACCTGCGCCTGTGTGTGACGTATGTGTTTATGCCACCTCCTGGGAACTGCAGCCAAGACCAAAATTGCACTCCTCAAACATCTGAAATGTCTTACACCGCTAAATCACGTATCAGCCAGCGATTCAGGATGCACCGCATCATTATGTCATCATCGCAGCAATGTCAAATTGAGGCTTGCGCTAGGGTCAGCTGCCGCGACTTACGTCGCAGGTTTTAAACGTTAAGAAGAAAAGAAAGCTCCACGCATGTCCCATATTATACTGCCTGTACGCTTGGACCTCCGCTCAAACAGCAGCTGCGCAGGAAACTTTGCAGAGCAGTTAGCCTTATAACTCTCACTTCACTAGAATGCGCCGACTCGGTCACGATTTCGAACCACGCCCTGAGATTTCTTCAGCAGCTTTACGCAGGAGAAACCGGACACACTTTTGCAGGGAGGCACCAGAGGGCTCTGTTCTTCCTCTTCTGGTGGAACTCTCGCAAAATAGAGATCCTCAAAATTGGGTGACAGCTGGCGGGAAGGTTTTGAGGCCTTTGTAATATATTTCTTACCACACAACGTCAAAGAGCCTATATTAAGTTTTTCAGACTTGGTGAAAATCCCCTTGTCGTTAGGTCCAACGTTTGCCTCTGTTCATGTCGACCTCCTCACCGGCATCAAAATCTCCCTGCTCTCTAAACAACCCGCCGTCGCTCCAGACTAGCGTGACTACCAGCTTGCCGGCACATTACGCCGGGCCGGCGCTGGAACGGCCCGTGCACGCACTCAGCGGAGCGGGGAAAGCGGGACCTTGGCAAGGCAGGCAGATCAGGGGCTCGTGCAGCCGCTCCCACGCGCCGGCCCCGTTGCCGCTGCGCTGTGACAGATGGCGGCTAGTGATTGCAAGGGTCACGGGTCCGGCGGACGCCCGCAGCGCGTGGGAAAAGCGCCAGTGGCGCCGGATATGCGCCGCCCTCAGCTGACAGGTCGACAGTGGCGGGTCGGATATACCAGAGTCTGTGGGTGAGAATATCGAGTTTTTGTTCACTGGGTTGTTTGAAATCATTGGACGCGTTCATCGATCTGCCATTGTTCATCAAATCATCGAGTTCATTGCTACTCGAAGTCGGTCATTTTCACACCGCGACCGAAGGCGCCATGCAAAAGCTGACAAACACTGAGCGAGCTGCAGCCTCTTCAAACGTGTGGAAAGCTTCACTTATGGCGTTACGTTTTGACTCCGGTCATGCGGTCCGGTCCCATGCTCCGGTCCCGACTGTACTTCGCTTATGAGCTTTACCGATGTTGCATAAGGGCCTTTACATGACAGACGTCCCGGTATTTACACTGCAAGACACTTGCTTAGCCATCCTGAGGCTGCAGGACGTGTCTCACGTGGCACATGTTGAGATATGTGCGATGTAGAACAATTGTTGAAAAATGTATCCAACTTCAATCAAAGGGAAACCGTATGCGATTGAACTTAAGAACTTTTGCCAACAGTGTTTCTAGATGGCTTCTGCGGTTCAGCTGTCAGCCAAACGAGGCCAAATCACGAATTCGCTGTCGCCGCGGATCGTCTCTGGATGATGGGCTTGCTCAACGCTGAAACGAAACTCGGCAACGGCGACGTCCGCTAAACTTTAAAGATGGTAGCAACTTAGATAGGGACTGTATCGTGGTGAATGGCTGGCAGTTGCTCTTTGTTTAACACGCGCTCGGGTGGGGGTCAACTTGACCCCCGAAGGTTTTTCAAAAATGGCTTCTGAACGGCGCGGAGAAGCCGCGCCAAATTTTCCATACCTGTAGAAAATTGAATAGAAAATCGTTTGACATCAAAAATTTAGATATACCTTGCAAGGTCGCCGACCTATGGTGGGTCAAAGTCAGGCCATGGTTTCAGCGAAGGCAATTTTTAGTGAATCCTTCAATCTGATCGAACAACGGAATCTTAGACGAAGCCATACATATATGAGATGCTTTTTTAGGCAACACAATAGTTGAATAAGCAAATTACATTGACCTCAGGTCAGTTGTGAAGGTCACACCAAGGTCAAAACCAACTTGTTTTATTACTCTGGGGGTCGCTGTATGGGATAGCTTCTGGTGCTCATTTCGAGTTTATTGATAGCAGAAACCGCATTATTCATCTTCCATGGACTTCTTAAAGGTCATAATAGGTAATTGACCTAAAATGACCTGGGTCAACATTTTGTTTTAGGAACATTCTGTCTAGCGTAATCTTTGTCGCTTAGTCAAAAGCAAAACCCAAAGCAATCTTGTATTATTTTGGTCACCTAGACCTTCAAAAGGTCAAGCAAGGTCACTGGTGAGGATGTGACCTTTTGCTTAGAAACGGTTATCTACGTTCTGGGGGCACTTTGGAGACCAACCTGGAACTTAAGACTGTTTGACCTTTTTTGACCCGAAGGTCATGACCTAGGAATCTGAAAATTTAACCTAAGTAAGTTCACGTACGGGTCAATACACCCTGTAAATTTTGTGTTTCCAGCTTGCTTCCTTTTTCTTGCCTTACTTGCTTCTTGCTTAGTTCCCGATGTCTCAGGGGGTTAAATTGCCCTCCCCCCACCCGAGCGAAGGGTATCTAGCCGGCCGCCCGTGCACGTGTTAATTGTTGTTGAAAAAATCGAGTAGGATCATCGGCAGGCAATTTTCAATTCACTTCTGCTATTGTCCCGGTAAAGGCGTGTTGCCGAAATATCGAACCAACTATCTTTCCATTCTCTTCGTTTTCTCCGACGAATAACGCTAATACTACTATCTTATCTGTGTGAATCATGTTCCTCGCTAATGCACGGAACAACTTACGTGATAGTAGCAGCGTTATCTTCAACGTTATCTCCATTGATGATGACGCTGATGGCATCTATCATCAACTGAAATAACGTAATTGTCTCGTGTATTTTTGCACCTACGGCAGTTCTGTCAACTCAGTCATGGTAGGCGGGACAAAAGGTCACACACACGCATTGAACTACCCACAGACGGATCGAGATGAGGCATGACCTGCCAGCATAAGTACACCTACGCTGACGAGAGCACATGTAAGGGGCCCTTCGGTTCGATTCAGTACGTCCAGCGGCATAGGAGTCACGGCATAGGCTTGGTAAAAGGCTCGCGTGTTAAAAACAATAGCGGCTGGCAACGCGTCGATTAGCGGCACAAGTTGGCGACAGATGCTAAGGCATGGCAACAAAGAAAAACAAGGCATGCATTCTTTCTCAGCCGTGCAAAGTGCGGCTAGGGCAGAGGTGACGTTGTTGCAAGAATTTGCAGAATGATGTCCGTTTAAACCAAGACTGCAAGCGAAGGCGATTGAATCTACCGCTCACAAGTCATGGAGGAAATACTTGCATTTGTCGATTGTTTGAACACAGCCGTCAAGATCTTCAAAGGAGATTAGATTACCACATAAATCTGATTGCTACATCCGAACCTCAAAATGTGTGTACAAAAAGCAATCAGGATAGACAGCTCTTTGGCACGATGCATCTTTTGACTGAGTTATGACAGTACTTAAAGTTCATTTCTTGACAGGCTTCTTGATCGATCGGTGTATGGTGCATAAAGCGGGTTATAGCGTACGTTAAGCACACGTCCATTTGAAAGACGGACGAAACCAGGGACGGCAATCTGACGCAGGTTTGAAGCGTGCTTATTCCAGCAGTGCACAGCAGAGCCGTCCAACACCGCAGTACTGGTTGATAAAAGCCCCACCTTTGTGCCAGTACGAGTAGGCTGTCCAGCCCCCTGACCAGGGCTCCGATGTGAGCGCTAGTGGCATCGATCAATGAGGTAGCGACATGCCCCGGGTCAGATCAGGTCAGGTCAGGTCAGGTCAGGTCACGTCAGGTCAGGGCTCACACAACACGCATGGCTAAGCGCTGGCTCTGATCAAAGAAATACATACATGCAAACGGTTCCCATGAAAATTTAAACAAGCATACAAAAACATTTTGTGTATTTTAAATTCAGCCTCAGCAGCTGATATACATTTCACCTGCGCCGCCATGACCATCACATAGCTACATGTTGTATGCGTCTGGTTTGTTCACACTGATGTTCCGTCAGACTTCGGTAGCCCTGGACTGTCATCGCAAATCGAGTGACGTCATGTCTTTGCTGAGCGCGTCACACCTTTCGACAGCTGTTGCCACTACACGTCGGGTTTGCTTTCCTCTCCCAGCTCTCGTCTGTCTGTGATGAGCGGATTTTTTTTTAGAAAGCAAGCCCAAAGAATGTTTGGGGGTATTTTCGAGCGTCTGGCACTCAGTCTAAGTTTGTCCTGTTGGCACGTGATGAGCGATTGTTTATCGATTACAGCTTTCTCGCGTGCTTAAATATCCAAGATGGTTGGAGCGGATATTCGGACAAAACCCGTCCTTCAATGCAACTGTTTCTGTTCCTTTGTGACGAGAAAGTTGTCTGGGATGTCGATTTGAGTATCCTTGCGTATGGATTAGGCGTCACGCCCTTTCTCATAGCGTCATCCACTTCATTCCTCTGCGACCGTCATGCCCTTGCTGCCCGCATGAACAGACCGGAATTCTAACAACGTCAATGACTAGACTCCAAAAGAGTCAAGCATGCCCGTAAATAAGCCTGCGAGAGAGATGGTAGTGACAAGCGGATCGAACGAGATGCATGCCATCTTTGCCCTGCGCCTGATGGCAATAGGGCTAACATGTTGGCAGGCAAACTCTAAAAAGTTGCCATGCAGCTGAACACCGTGGTGTTCCTTTTGACACACGCTGGGCAAGCGGACCGTTTTTCTCCACTGCAGCGGTTGCATTAAAGAGCACATAACTCTGACATTTCATGATTATGACGCTGACGTCATCGTTTGTGACAGGATAACGCCAATCAGAGACGATAGTCCGTGCTGTCGTACAGAATGAATCATATCTCTGACATTTATCCTGTGCTATGGTACAGCATCAGGGCTATACCCTTTCGCTGCACTGGTCCAGAAACCCCAAGGATGACAACGAATCTGTGTTGAGCGCCCCAAGGATGACAATGAATCTGTGTTGAGCGCCCCAAGGATGACAATGAATCTGTGATGAGCGTCCCAAGCGAAAGACTGATTGTGGAGCGCCTGCCAAGGGAGTGACAACTTCAAAAGAGACCTTATCGGCTGTTTGTAAGGTCATGTAAGGCCGCTTGCGGTGTAGGTTCCGCAACATATCGGGGAAACATTACGTCTCCAATGGAACCGAGCTCATTCCAAGTCATCTGTCTCCGTTAACTTGCCATTTGTTTGTCACTGGCATCTTATCGCAGGAAAGCCATGCCCAACCAAACAGCCTGCACGCAAGCCCTCCGCGAGCACCGCCGGCCCTGTCGGCGTCTCCGCAGCGGGTGACGTGTTCTCCTCCGCCGGCAGGCTGCTGGAGCCGAACTACATCGACGGCATGGGCCTGCCGGCGATGAACCATCTGCCCAGCCCGCGTCTCGTCTCGGTCGGCGTTCACCAGGACAGGGAGCTGTTCGACCACGCCTCTACGCTCATGCTGATTGCCTGGGGCCAGTTTTTGGACCACGACATGACGTTGACTTTCACCAGGCCCGGTCAGTGCTCCCCACCTGCCAGCGGGACCTGGCCGAGCAAGCTGTTTTTGTGGCGGCGCACAACGTGTCTTTGCACGCACTGGTGTCCTAATGTAGAACGTGTTGGGCGTGGTGGCGAGGCAGGTCTGGCGATCATTAGGTCGCATGTGCTGACTGGAAACATATGTTAGCGTAGTGTGTATATCTATGTCAGGATCTCAGCTCATAAGCTTCTCAGCTCTGCTTTTGGCTTTTGCTTGGATCCTGGTTTTGCGGTGACTTCTTGAAGTCCTGCCTCGACAGGGCGTGGAGTCTGTCCGTTATTTTTCCCAGTTTAGTCGGAAGTGATTTGGCCTTTTTCGCTATTCTCTGTCTACTTCTTAATGCTGTGTGCGCTCCTTTAACCTTGCTTTGTGGAATATCGCCTTTCTTCCTACCCATTCTTCCGGCCATTTGTTTCTGCCATCTCTGTGTTCTACCGCTCCGTGTGATTCTGGGACCATTCGCATCAGCTGATGGGCAGAAGCACTCTTGCGGTGTTCTATCGTCTGCCTTTCCTTGCATCTCACTCAGCCTCACATGACCTTTTCCTTACCTCCTCTCACATCGGCTCGGGGTCTTCCATATGAAGTTATGTCACGCATGGAGAGGTGAGGGAGGAGTTCTAGAGCCGTAACGAAAGCGTAATAATGAAAAAGGAAAAGGGAGATGTTTGGGACAGCGTAATGTCACGCTCAAGTTTGATTGCAAATCATGTAAAAGCGTTTTTTCTCAAAATTCAAAGCACTACAGTCGAATGAGGTCGTCTTCCTATCCTAATAAGGAATACGCTCGGTATTTGTTTCGCATCTCTAGCTCAATCAGTGGCCAAATGGACGATACGGCTTGGGATATTACCCTTACCACAGCGTATGTATGTGAAGGACGTGGCCTAGTGCAAGCACTATGTAATGATAGCAAAGGAAGGGTCCACAATAGGGAAAAAAGCGTAATGTAAAGTATGGACGGTTTCTTTAGAGCTCCTCATCCTTTCGGAAGCAAAAAATGCCATCCTTCTGAGGCCGTTCATTCGTTTTTGACTTTTTCAACACTCCTCTGACCTACCATCGTTTGTCATTTAACGCCGTGCCTGCTCACATGGCCTTACCCGACACGCTGAGCTCCCGCCGTCTTCCTCTCCGCTTGGTGCTCCTCCCACTTATCTCCGCACCACCTATCCGCGTTGTCCTCCTCTGACTCCTAGTCGCGTTTCTTTCACCTGCCTCTTCCTCCTCTTCATCCTCCTCTGAGTTCTCCTCTGACCTCCTCCCCGCACCGTCCTCCTCTACCTCTTCCTTTCCCCTGCCTCTTCCTCCTCTTCATCCTCCTCTGAGTTCTCCTCTGACCTCCTCCCCGCACCGTCCTCCTCTACCTCCTCCCGCCCCGTCCTCCCCCGACCTCTCTCCGCCGTCCTCTTCCGACTTCTCTCCGCGCCGTCCTCCTCTGCCTCCTCCCACGCCGCCCTCTGCTGACTGTCCTCCGCGGCGTCGCAGACGAGCGGACCCTGAACGAGCCGGAGGACTGCTGCCGCGGCTCGGGCCCCGAAGACTGCCTGCCCATCGGCGTCCAGCGCAACGATCCGTTCTACTCCCGTCACGGCGTCGACTGCATGGACTTCGTGCGCTCCCAGCCGGGCGTGAGGCAGTTTTGCCGACTCGGTAAGCGGTCAAGGGCTTTACGGGTAATATTTACCTTGTCAACTCCACCCGCCACTCATGGGCTGACTCATACCCACTCGCCGTCCATCGTAATGAATTGTACCCGACCGGTAGCCCAACTGCTGGCATTTATTCCAGCGCTTCTGTTCTGAATCATCGAAAATTTCGGGGAATTTTGCACCTAATCTCCCTCTGTTGCGTTGACAAGTGCCAAAGCAATGTGAAAGTGGCTACGTATGTCCAGAAGAAGCGCTGGCAGCGTGGTGTTCTTTCACACACAATTTATGGTGTGTAATTTCTTCACGTGTGTATTAGGCATTTCGTAAGCCTCCTTCCCATCCACGTACACATATGTGCAATTGACCCAAGTCTGTACCGAACCCAGCCCGTTACCCAGTCCATATGGGTACCCACGGGCTTACTAAACACGTGAGGTTCTCTAGCAAGCAGACCCACCACGCGTGCGCCAGTTTTGTCCACTCGGTTAGCTCGCAGCAGCTGTGGCCGCCCGGCAGCTGCGCTCCAATATGCGCTGCAGCGTTGGCTGGCCGCAGTCCATTCCGGTTCTGGCTCTGGGCACAGACTTACTGTGGTGTAACGACGCGACGCAGGGCGTGGGCTTGGGCATGGGTTCTAAACCTCTCCCCATTGGAGGTGGGTTTAAAGTGCGGGCAGAGAAATGGGTGGATTTAAGGAGGGTAGCGTTTGGCTCTCCCGAAACACGGGAGGCGCTTCTCGCGGGGCGCGGAGAAAAAGAGAATATTTTGCGCGAGTTGTGGAAGATCGGCTCAGTATTGACCTACCACAACATTAGCCCGAATGAATTCAACTAAATAACTTCCTTAAGACTTAAAGATTTATCAAAGCACAGGAAGTCATCACCAACAAAGCGCAAAAACACCATGGCTTCCAGAAACATCAGATCCCAAGAAACAAGACATGGACATAAAAACCATCAGACATACCTAACTGAAAATTGACCATGTCTCCGAAAGGATGACCAGATTCTAGATCCGCCCAAAGCCCCGGCAGGTCAGCCAGGGGTCAACAGCCACACCAATATATGCGCGTGGCAGACCGAGCACAGTGTTTTAAAAAAGGCCAAAACAGCTCTGGGGAAGGTACTCAGAGCATGCCCACAGTCACATTAAATACAAACCGCCATGCCATAAGGCATTCAAGATCTAAAAAAGTATCCATTGGCCCCGGAACAGGGGAGATAAACCGAAAAGTCCAAATGCACCCCGTCTTTGCGCGGTCCGGGCTGGCCACGGATTTTAAAAAAAGAGTTCTTAACAATAAGAGAGAGTAATGGAGCGCGCTGACTGTCAGCGGTACTCCGATGCAAAGCATTCAAGGATTACACCCCGATGCAACACATGCAAGGATTGCATCCTCCCATGCCTGCGTTGATCCTCTGATGTCAATAACCGGCTGGTATTTGTCAAAAAGAGCGCATTTTTTGCTCAGTCTGGGATTTTTCGGCATCGCTGGTAGCAATTCATCTTGTAATTCATTGCACGCATTCTAATTGCTTGTGCATTCAATTCACTTCGTTCAGTGTGTTATTCTGGGGCTGGTTATGTTCGGTTTAGTTCCCTCTGTCTGTTGACGATGTGATCTTTCCAAACATGAGCACGTTCACATTTACTGAAACCAAGTGAGCCTATGGCGAATCACCCCCACCCTCACCGCCAGTGAACGGACTTCAGCAATTGTCAAACATGATAGAATGATCTGACTAATCTGCTCTCTATAGGGCCTCTTAAACGTCATCTGCATTCTCGTGCAGGACGGTTTGGACCGTGCTGGGCTGGCTCTCACCTTATGCAATCAGGCAACATTGCTTCGATCGGAAGGAAGAAGGATGTATTTCAGAGGTGCACTTTGATTGACAGCTGTTTTTTGCATAGCCTCACCGGCTTTTTATGTAACGCATTCCCACGAGGCCGCCACCAGAACGTGTCAATTGTCTCCAGGATCTCGGATTGGGTTCAACGTGCTGACATCTGTGATTGACGGCAACACGGTGTACGGCCAGACGCACGAATCCTCCAGGTGGGTGCTCCTGAGCACGAGCCTATGTATTTCCGACATTTCAACGCAGCCTCTGTGATTGGCGGTGAGGACCCGTGGGCATGTGACGTGTACAAGTGACGTCATGATTTCTCTGTCTGCTGTACTGAATCGCTTGCCCTCCTACTCGGATTTATCTCCATCTCATTATGGACGTATGCACCAAATAGGCATGTAAGCGTCGCGTACCAGTGATTGTATCAGAAACATGGTTCGTCTCATCATTTATCGTGACGTACGAATCTCTTGCATGCTCGCTCAGCGTGCTGAGGATGTTCGAGGGAGGGAAGCTGAAGTCGTACCTCCCGGAGCACTTTAAGCAGCATAACATGCTGCCGCTGCTGCCCCTGCGGTTTGAACATCAAGACGAGGGATGCATTCGAGACCATCCGGGCCAGAGGTGCTTCCTTGCAGGTAAGAGTCGCGTGGTTAAACTGTGCAAAGGCTTAGTTTTACGATGGCGTGCTAGCCTAGTTTTTAGCGCCTGCATGGAACCATTACAAAGCCATTAGTTTTCCACCAGTAGCCTTCCTTACTAACTTGGCTGTTAATAACCGTTATCAGGCTTCCTGATTAAGTGGGAAAGTCTACGATATGGGCTATATAGATATCGCAAAGCATAGTTCTGCCCCAAATCGTGGACAGGGCAAGTCTTTCAACGATGGGTCATTACTGGCGTGAGCAGCCTGCACGTTCCGGGCATGCCCGGCTGTCACTCTCTCCGCACAGTCCATGTTTGCAGCCGCTTGTTGCAGCTCCACGCGGCTATCAGTAGCAATCAAAAAAGTCTCTCGAAAACTGTGATTTGGTGGACTTGTGGCATTGGAGTTGGAAAACTGTGATGAAAACTGTGATAGAGTTAGAAAACTGTGATCAGTGCATTCGCAGTTTGCTCAAACGTGGTTTTCCTGCGTCAACGTGCTGCAAAAAACCGTAAATTTGCAGGCTGCGAAATTCGGCGCAACACAAGACGAAATCAGGCGCGTGGTCTCAGCCATGACGGGTAGCAATGGCACATGCTCAAAACGATTTAGCTGTGAATTGAGCGCACCTTTGCACACGACGTATCTACGGCCCCGCGCGCAGAAGGTCACGGCATTACTGATAACACTTATCATAGGCGTCGTACATTTACATAACAAGTTACAGATCCATATGCATGCCATAATATACGTGGTATATACGGCCCGTGTTGCGCACTACAGAGGCCGTAGATCCGCAGATTATTGACATTTTCACGCATTACAATGTTAAGTGTCAGAAACTAATGTAGATCATTACTTGAAAATGAACTGCATGGCATAGACAATGGCAAGATCCACAACTTGCTACCGCAGATGAACTCAACTCAAGTGACAGGCTCGGTACAAATCGACAGAACTATGGTAATGCTACCTTCTTAAAAGCCGATTCCAAGCAGGGCCTCGTGTCTTAATATCCGTGTGGTGCAAGACGTACACACGGGTAGACAGCATTGCACAGGCTTATTCGGTCCGAACATTTACAACCTTTGTGGAATGTATGTGTCTTATTATTATTTCAGCCTCAAACAATTGCAATTTAAATCTAATGCGAAAACCACGCGTTACGTGCCCACACGCTAATGCGACAGATGTTTTCACATATGTTCGTGAATCTAAATGTTTCAAAGCGTTTGTAATGTCTTAGAGGATACCAATAGGAATGCGTAAGCTCCCAGTTGCGTCTCAAGCTCATGTTATTGTGCTGTGTATCTTTTTCAATAAGGAGAACAGCTGTGTGCAGAAGTTATTTGCAAGCTTTTGAAGTAAGATACGTTAATTTTTCTGCTGCTTAAAATTCTTACATCGATCCAAATTTCCTTACATTTTTTCAAATTGTTTTTACAACGTTTCTACAGAAAATCCAAAGAGGCAGTAACATTTAAATGTGTTATCACCTCGTTCACTCCACAATGGATTGCTATTGGATTACTCCATAATGGATTGCTTCATAATGGATTGCTATACTCCATAATGGATTGTTACACGTCTTGCTGACGTGTAGCCGTGTTTTGCAATGTCATCGTGGCTTAATTCATAACTGCTCCGGCGTATGTCGCAAGTGATTTGGAAGCCCGTGAAAACTGTCTTTACAGGCTAGTTTCCCTAGTTTCTAAGCCGAGTCTGTGTGTTAGACTGAGTCTATTCTAAAGGTCTCGTTAATCTCGTGACTGTTCATGGCGGAGCTCGATGGTTCTAGATTCGTACGAGGACTTCTTTAAACGAGAAAATCAAAGCGGTCTATTGTGTTGTTGCTTTGTCATCACTTGCGCAATCTGTTCACATCCCGGACACATCTTCAGTTTCAGGAATGTCCCATCAACTGTAGGCTATCACGGTTGGATGTTTAGTCATGAATCGGATGTTGACCAGTCACGCAGTTAGTTCCTGGAAACAAGGTGTCACTGGCTAAAGGTTCAGGTAACTTTCCCGTGAAACGCTTTCCGGCATGGTAGCAGAGTTTGTCTGAACGCGCTGAAGTCTGCAATATCGCGCAAAAGCTCCAGAAGGACGAGGAGATGGACGCCAGTCCAATCTCAATCGCCTTAAAAAGCTAGAGCAGCCGGGAGGCGACAAAGGCTGTCTGTGACCCCGGGAAAGCCTAAACGTGGCTAGGTAGTCTGCTGTCATGTCGGCTCGTGATTTTTTCCAGGATGAGTTTTCTCCCAAACCTTTCTGGTTCAAACCCCTTCTTTATGTATTGCTTGTGGAGAGGTATACGTTGGTACGCTTAACATATGTCTTCGCCGATTCCCAAGGCTAGATTATACGGTAAGCTTTCTATTTTACACAGCCATATATTGGTCATACCTTGCGAACTAAGCTTCTTTCTGCAGGAGAAATTCGTGTCAACGAGCAGCTTGTGCTGAGTACGATGCACCTCTCTTGGTTCCGGGAGCACAATCGCATCTGCGACATCTTGAGAGATCTCAACCCACACTGGGACGACGAGAAACTGTATCAGGTAAGCAAAGGTCTAATGCCATGTTACGTTCATTTTGGGACAGTTTTGCAAAGCGTGCGGTTCAATTGATGCTCTTGCAGCCTTCAGAAAGAGAATAACCTCGAAAGTAACTGCTGGCACGAGTCAGTTGCAGTTGGTTGATATTAAACTAGGCATTAAACAATCCATTATATGGCGTCGCCGTTTTCCTACTGCTGTTGATTTGGAGACAGTAAGGTCGTCGTCTCGCCATAAGTAACCGTGACCCAGTGCACGTCAAGAGCATGGGTGTCAAGAATTTATTTTTTTTTGTCACAGAAGATATCACCATCACCACTACATACCTTTTTATGACCTCATGTTTTCTGTTAAGTAACGTTGGGTGTCTTTTCAGCAGAATTCACCGTGATGTGTCTGAAACTGTTTCGCCGTTAAACTAAGGTGTTACTGTTGAAAGAGCGCATTGTTTAAATGAATTTAGCGTAAGGTTCCATGTCCCGACGAAATTTGTCAAATGTGTGCATTGCATTTGTGCGTACAGCAGTAGTTTGTTGGTGTTTATAGATACATACCTGTTTGGGATGGCTTTCAAGTTAACTTGGTCGTGCAGTTGTCAATATATACCAGAATACACAAAAGAGTAACGTTGTGCTATGGGCCAGTGGTCCTGGTTTGACTCAACATGAAGTGTCAGCCATTTCGCCCCATGATCTCGGGTCCCATTACCCTGGCAGATGACCCTGGGCCAGCTGGACCAATCACGTCCGGTTGCTCACTTCCCTCCGCAATGGCACGAGCCCCATGTCATTGTGCCTACCTACCGAGGCAGATGCCGACTGGGTCGGATGCTGAGGTGAAGGACAATGTCCTCCAACCTATGTATCATTTCAGGAAGCAAGACGGATAGTCGTCGCCTGTATTCAGCACATCACCTATGACGAGTTCCTGCCGATGCTGTTGGGGAAGACGGTGATGAAGGAACACGACCTTATCTTGACCGATCACGTAAGTTGATGCGCGGGGTTGTGAAGATTTGGTCGGAACGCATCATCACCGAAATCATGTCAAAACCCAATCAAGCAGTCGTTGGATGGATTTCTGGAACCAGAGCAGTGTGAGTCCTGATCCTGCCAAATCTTCCTGAGATTTCTGACCGAAGGCAGAAGTTTGTGTAAACGCTGCATTCGCGCAACCCTTAGTGCGGTCGCTGCCACCGGCCGCGAGCCATCTGTCAGGCGTGTTTAAGAGAACGGCAGCACGGTAGCATCTTGAGCAGAATCCTTTTCATGCTACGCCCTTCATAACCTGGCACACTTTTGAGTTTTCTGCACCTTTGTCGAGGCTGATTTAATTTTGGAGAATTGGTAACATTAACGCATATTATGTTATCTTAATGTTTCAGCTTAGATGATCATAGCATTTAGTCCGTATAGTTGTCATGCAACAACTCGTGTATTTTCCCAGAAGATTGCTACCAACTGAAAGCTTTGTTTGTCTGTTGAAATTAGTTGCGATGCAAAATAGAGCTTGTAGTACGGAAATTTGGTTTCACCAAATTGCGGATGAAGGTTAAAAAGTTCAGCTCTCAGGCCTGGCGGATAGGTGGATAATATTGTGCAAAAGTGTCATTTTCGGGCAGTTTTCTTCGTATTTTCTGCATGCTTTCTTCATTTTGCCCAGGAATCACAAAATAAACGTAATTTTATCGAAGACTGCATCACAATATTTTGCAGCTGGCGTGAATACACAATTAAAACATAAATACAAGGAAGGTGCGGTGAGGTAGACATTTTGCAGCGTAGCCCGAAGCTTCAACGCCAGCCATGTCGCAATGAACCGTCCTGTATGACAACAAAAGTCGCGTCCCATTTCGGGAAGAATTCATGATGAATGTGTGCCGCATGGCCGCCTTTTTTAAATCGGCAATATTTAGGAGACCAGGAGGATGCACGCAGAATAAGCTTAATACAAAGCAGTTTGTTCTGATATCTCGCTTTCGTTGTGTTAAGATGTCAGGATTTTTTGACGACCCTGTAAACTAGGTTTCGTTGAGCGAAATGGAGCTTCGATTATTACCATTGAATGGCTGGTAGAGGTAGCGTTTTTTTCTCGGAATACTTGATTGCGGTTGTGCACTTGTTCAGGAATGGCCTAACTCTCGTGATACACCAACCTTCACGAACGACAAAATGCGCTTTCGACTGCCTTGGCATTCCGATCACGTGATTACCCGCGAGCAGCGGCGCAACCATTGGTCGCACGGTCGTGTGGCATTCCAGGGCTACTGGGACGGCTACAACGAGTACGAGGACCCCAGCATAACGCTGGCCTTCATGACTTCCGCGTACCGGTTCGGTCACAGCCTACTACCGTCGACGGTTGAGCGCTGGAGCCCCAACCACAAATACATCGGTAAATGGGTGGAAACGGCACGGGGGTGGTCGCACTGTGACCCAAACTAGGCCGACAGCATGCGGGAGCACAACAGTCACGACTACGCGTCCCACGGGAGTGAACAACAAATGTCACCAATATTTTATCGGTATATGAGCTAACATTTGATGATTCATTTTCGTATCATCGTCCACGACCGAGGGCGCGTCGCTTGTCCAAAGCCACTGCTGGCAATGACTGGGCTCTCCCAGGAGGAAGGAAAATTGCAACGCGCGTGTTTCACGGTGTGCACCCCACTTCTGGTGTACAAACCGGTTCAAGCCGGACTGCATGGACAGCTGGACGCGATCTTGCAACGGTGGGTGAAACTCCCTTCTGGCCAGCACACAAGGTCGGCGATGATTTTACCCGATGAAGCACAAAAAAGGAATGTGATGGAAAATCAGGTCGTTGTTGGCAAATCAGGTCTGTTGCAATTGTAGTTGAAAGACGTCCCTAGATTTTGGGATTTCACGCCTTGCTGTATTGGTACCCTAACACTGCCGACGGGCGCAGGGGCACAACGAAATCGGCGTCTGAGACCGGATAGGCAGGCGCGAACCGGCAAATGTTTGTTGTCATGAAGCAAGCGCATTCGTGACCTGACCTACATTTCTTTAGACGAGCGGGATCTCTCGGATCTGATCCGGAAGCCGTTCGACCTGTACAAGCCCGGCGCCGTGGACGAGTACATTCTAGGCCAGCTCAACCAGCCGGCCATGGCCATGGACTTTGCCGTCACTGAAGAGGTGAGCAGGAACATCATGGGTCAGGTCAGCTGGCCATGGCCATGGACTTTGCCGTCACTGAAGAGGTGAGCAGGGACATCATGGATCAGGTCAGCTGGTCATGGCCGTGGACTTCGCCGTCACTGAATAGGTGAGCAGGGACATCATGGGTCAGGTCAGCTGGTCATGGCAATGGTCTTCGCCGTCACTGAGGAGGTGAACAGGGACGTCGTGGGTCAGGTCAGTCAGTCGGCCATGGACTCCGTCACTGCTGAGGAGCTGAGGCGGTGGGCTGGATAAACTGCCCTCCACTTCTGTCGGTGGGGTCCCGGACCGACGACCTGGTCTTCTCCGCTGGCAGCGACTGAGGCTGAAGCCCATCAAACTGCTCGGTGAAGTTATGGCCCGGTTTCGCCGGTGACCGTACCAGCGGTGACCTGACGTCCCGGTTGGTGACGCTGCGAGTTCTGATCGGTGACGCTGCCAGCTATGATCGGTGACGCTGCCAGCTCTGATCGGTGACGCTGCCAGCTCTGATCAGCGACGCTGCCAGCTCTGATCGGTGACGCTGCCAGCTCTGATCGGTGACGCTGCCAGTTCCGATCGGTAACGCTGCCAGCTCTGATCGGTGACGCTGCCAGCTCTGATCGTTGACGCTGCCAGTTCTGATCGGTGATGCTGCCAGCTCTGATCTTTGACGCTGCCAGTTTTGATCGGTGACGCTGCCAGCTCTGATCGTTGGCGCCGCCGGTTCTAATCGGTGACGCTGCCACCCCTGATCGGTGACGCTGCCAGCTCTGGTCGGTGACGCTGCCAGCTCTGATCGTTGACGCTGCCAGTTCTGATCGGTGATGCTGCCAGCTCTGATCTTTGACGCTGCCAGTTCTGATCGGTGACGCTGCCAGCTCTGATCGTTGGCGCTGCCAGTTATAATCGGTGACACTGCCATCCCTGATCGGTGACGCTGCCAGCTCTGGTCGGTGACGCTGCCGGCCCTGATCGGTGACGCTGCCGGCCCTGATCGGTGACGCTGCCGTCCCTGATCGGTGACGCTGACGGCCCTGATCGGTGACGCTGCCGTCCCTGATCGGTGACGCTGACGGCCCTGATCGGTGACGCTGACGGCCCTGATCGGTGACGCTGGCGGCTGATCTGATCGGTGACTTGACAGCCGGCCCGGCCCGCTTCCGCAGGTGACCACCATGCTCTTCAGACAGCCGAACGTCGGCCACGGCATCGATCTGGTGTCGCTGAACCTGCAGCGAGCCCGCGAGATGGGCGTGCCCGGCTACATGCACTACCGCAAGTGGTGCGGCTTGCCCACCGCCGACTCCTTCCTCGAGCTCACCAACTTCGTCAGCAACCACACCGCAGCCGCGTATGCGCAGTTGTACAAGTGAGTTAGCGTGGCTGGTCCACGAGCCGAGCAAGTGAACCAGCAGGGACACGATGGCGCGCGCTTTTCCCTATTATCCCATGATTTGGCGCATCGTTGGCTGGTCTTGAAGAGAACAGCTGCTGTCAAGCGCCTTTGATCCCCAGTATCACCAAGGAAAAAATTAGTGAGCGTCGGCGATGTTCTGGTCTTATTGTTTACGACACCTTCATCGCAGTGCGTTGGTATTCTTTTCTGATAGCATGTGCCAACACTACAAGTCGCATTTCCGTCTAACGGCACCCACCCACCTCGCACCGGGAGTTGACCCTCACACCCTCGCCGTAGATCGCCCTGGGACATTGACCTGTTCAGTGGCGGCATATCGGAGCGGCCGCTGCCGCACAGCATGGTCGGGCCCACGTTCGCCTGCATCATCGGAGCGCAGCTACACAAGCTGCGGCACGGTGACCGCTTCTGGTACGAGCTGGGCAACCAGCCGTCCTCTTTCACTCCAGGTCAGTGACCGCCGGCGGCGCCAACCAGGAGCGTTCCGCTGGCCGGCTGGGGCGTTTCCGAAGTCGGTGTAACTAGTGGACAGTTTTGAGAGGAGTTTAGGCGGAAATGATGGCTTTCCGCCTTTTCGGTGCACAAAGGAAACCTTTTAGAGGGGGATCTTCTTCTTAACCATGTGTCTTGACCACTTCACCAGAGTCGACGTCTGAGGAATGGCAGAGCTGTATTTGAGGCCGAGTAAGGCTGGGCAGGATCGGACGTTTGTCCATGGGTCGACTAGCTGATGTTGCACTATCGACCCCGCTCCATATGAGCCGGAGCCATCCCCCGGAGGTGGCTGATGGGCCTCCAAACGAGTTCATCGCGTTTGGACTCTACGAGAGCTTAATGGAATGTACCATTTTCGCGAGAGCTTTTCCGCCAGCACTCGACGATCAAAGAAAGGCTGACTGAGTGGCGATGACGTTAAAGCCCGTTCACGCTTTGCCTACGAGCTGGAGAATCAGTTATAGATCATGTAACCAGTCAGCTACTGCAGATTAGCGACGGCACTCTTAGCCTCAAGCTGGCAAACCTCAGGTAAAAAGAGCTCAAAAGGGATGTCTCCCAAGTCCACAATACATAACGATCGAAGAACCCGCCGCGGAATCTGAAGGCTTCAGCTGCTGCGAACCAGAGGTGTCCCTTTCCAGCTCTGTTTACCGGTGCTTTGCAGGCCTGCGGGCTTCAATGTGGCACCTCTAGTCCGCGACAGGTGACTGGCAGCGACACCTGCAGTGAACACTGCAGTCAGACTGCAGAATCTGCAGCGGATTCTGCAGTCAGACTGCAGAATCTGCAGTGGATTCTGCAGTCAGGCTGCAGGCGTGCACGGGCCTTGATTCAGCGCCCCGGTCTGCAACCTCGTCCCCGTTTTGATGCGCGGCCCTTGAACAGATTCCAGCTGTGTTATAAGTCACTAACGAGGAAAATCAGATTGTACCATTTCCGCACGTTTAGCGGATTCCGTGTACGCCTTGTGGGGTGGGATGTGGGGATGAGGGGAACACCATCACCCCTCCTAAATGTTATTCACACTGGTGTGCACGATCCGTTTACGCATACAGCAGATCAGGCGTCTGGATCTGACACAGTTTCGCTGTTTTTTGTTCATCAGCGCACATGTTCGGCCCTTCACTTGTTTTGACGGTTATCTCGTGTTTGATTTTCAGAGCAACTCGAACAGATTCGTCGAGTTCAGCTGTCCAGGGTTCTATGCGACAACACGGATCTTATAAAAACGATACAAGTGTATCCACTGGTGCTACCTGACTACGAAGTGTGAGTCCGGCATGCTTGCAAGGAGACGGCTTGAGCGTGCAACGACTTCCACAGGCCAATTTACACTCAAAATTGTCTAAATGGGACTGGCCCCGTGAAAAAGCAATGCCTCAGTTTCTAACTAAGGAAGTGTATCACCTGTTCTTTGCTCTCAGGATGCCCTCTATTTTGTCATACATCCACAATAAACGCTGTCTGCAATATTTCTGCTAAGTTTAGGCTTCAAGATCGCCCCTGTGGAAGGCCGGTTATGCCCCGATGTACCCGCGCCGCAGTGCCGTGGTCAGGTCACAACACTCTGATGAAGAGAGACGAAGAGTGGAGGTCACTGCAAATGTGATAATTTTGATATGACTTGCATCGGTACAAGTGGCGAGGATGACTTTTGGAATCACAACTATGTTTTTATTCCTGAGATAATTTTGAAGCGTTGTTGGTTCCAACCTTTTAAAATTGTTTGGCGCTGCATTTTTGTCCGAATATGGCTTACGAAGTCAAAACAAACAATAGACAGCAACAACCTTGAGATCCACAATGATAGCAGCCATTTCTGCACCGCGGACGTCTCTGACTGGTGTCTGCACCGCCGCCCGCAGAAATCCGCGAGTCCCTTGCGACAGCGGCGTGATCCCAAGACTGGACTTCAGCTACTGGAAGGAGATCCTGCCCTGAAGCTTCACCGACCGGCCGCCAGAGGCGCTGAGTGCCGGCCGCTCTGGCTCAGGCTGCCGTTGGGGTGATCGAGGGCGCCGCTGGTGCCGTGGCGGGAGAGGCGCAGCATGAGCCGCGCGCGGGAGATGTGTGCAGTGCTCTCGTGCGAAGTACGGCCCCCATGCTGCGCGGATCTCCGCGAATATTGACGGGATCATAGGCGCGCGAGGTCAGCGGAGGACAAGGTCGTGTTTTTGTGACTGCGCTGGTCATGCTGTGATTGCAACACGTTGCTGCACTGAAAACAAATTGTCCGACATACTGGCTTGGTTTCCGGGTGTTCATGACGGAGGTCGCGAATTTGTTGCTTGCACTCTTCGATTGCGTTCATGGCAAGCTTGCGTTTTGTGTATTGCTGGTTACCAGACCATGCCTGCGAAAATGGCAGCTTGTCTTCAGTGGAAATAAGTATTTTAATAATGCTGCCGGTGGATGATATCCAAATATCAGCTCTCGACTGCGGGCGTACCATGCGCCATATTTGCCCGTCGAGTGAGAGAAACGACATAGCTTTGTTATAGTGCTGTATGCTTGCCATCAACATAATATTCGCTGACAGTTGAAAATAAATGACCAGAATCCAGCGGATGAAACCTGTGTGCCTTTTTACAAGCACTTCTGAAAGAACTTCGTAATTTCTATAAGCGCATTCAATACAAACTTTTGAGAATTTTTTATAAACACAAGCAGGCGACATATAGTTATAAGCGCTTATAACTATGCGTCGCCTGCTTGCGATATAGTTGTAAGCGATTTGGTCCAACTCTCTCCACAGACTAATGCAAACCAATACAAGCCAGCCATATCTTAAACCTGCATGTTCGATCCCGCTGCCTGAAAAGCTCTCCTTCGCCAAGCTGGCAGCGTGCAGAACGAGAGCCAGTGACGAGCAAGCGGATAGCGTTCTCAAGATCCCACATCGCGGACGCGAGCCTGAGCCCACCGGCGACGGCGGCGGCCCGACGGTCGAACACATCCCCGCGCACCCGCGTCGTCATGACGACGGCAGATTGGAGCAAATAAAACATAGGCAGAACTGCCGAACTAACTTCATTATGTTGGGTTGCAACAACTATTTTGGTATGGACTAGGCAGACCTTAGTAATTTAAAACTAGCGAACTGGTTTGAATTTAATTTAAAAAATGTCTTGTTTGCGGCGTGGCGATGGTGTGCTTAGCACGGAAGAATTTTGTGCAAACCTGCGGGGCCTCATCTGAAAACCACTGCTCAGCCGGCCTGATCAGTGGCAATGACAGCGTTGTCGCCTGGATGAACAGTCAACACTTCAGCATCACGCCAGCCAAAAATATACCATGACGACCAGAACACGCTGACTCCAGAAAACGCTCCACCAAGCCCGACGAATCCACAAAGCTGAACTATCGCCATCTTCATCCCCAGGCCGTCTGGGGAGGGCCGTCCTGATCTGTTAACAGGACAGCCAGCCTCACGACAGGAGCGCGGGCGGACGGACATGGCTCAATGTGCGCTAAAACACCGAGCGTGGGAGCGGGCTGAACGCGGGTCCGCGGGGGGCGTGTCTGTCGAGAGCACGCACAAACGCACGTGCGATCTCTGTGCTCGCGCTTGGTACAGAGTGCAAGCTGGTGTAAAGGCCCACGCCAGGAGAAAGGAAAATGGTGAAATCGACCCACAGACGACATCCGCCGTTGTTTCCACCTTCACGCTTCATTCTGCAGTATCGCGGTGACCCGTTCGTCTTGGGTCAGCTGCCTGCACCCGTCATCGTTGGCTGAAACAGTCAGTGGGCCCTCCTGGCCCCGCCCTGCCTGAGTTCCCGCACAAACGCCGGAGAGGGGCCTCCCTGTGGGCTACGTCCCGGTAGTGGACACAGGCTGCACTTAGTCTTGCCCAGTTACGACCCACTCCCCTTCATCCCTAGTCCCGAAATGGTCACTAATGGCCGGAAAGGGTCTAATTTAAACCACACCAAATCACAGGCAAAGAACGGCCTTGAGTGTCTGGCAGTTCATCAGGCTGTTGTTCAAGTTGTTCAACGTATAACGGCCGCCATGATTCTTAGTCACAATCACCCTGGCCACACATCATCCTGGCCATCCAAATACACGCACGGCGGGACTGGCTGCGACTAGCCCGCCGCGCTATACCCGCGCACGTGCCGGTCTGGGCCGACCAGCGCCTGATGGCCTCACCGCCCTGGGGCCGGCCGCGGGGCTGGCGAGCATGGAGTGGTCCAGGACCCGCAGGACCAGGCGTGGCACAGCCTGACGCGGACCAGTGGTCGGCCAACACATCACGATCAGCACGCCAGTTAGTGACAGACAACGCCAGTGAACGTCGGAAAAAGTCAGAGCGTGCAGCGTACTCCGTGTTCAAAAATGTGGCCGCCAGCCGGACGTGGGAGCTTGGGGGTGGTCATCAATGGTATGGGGCAGTAGTGTGTCTCGATGTCCTATGGAACAGTAAGATAAAAGACTTCTTTCGGCACTGCATACTGTAACAACGCGCTAGTGGAATTGTTGAAATTGTAATATGTCGTAGAGCGACAAGCTTCATTTGATATTTTACTGTTTCGTCGCTACGCCTAGACCAACCACAACAACTTGGGTGCATTACATATTTTCGAACATCTGCACAGGATAAGCTTATGCCGTGTCTTCAGCAAAAATCATTGGGTTAGTCCAGATGCTTCCAGCGTCATCTTACCCTTCTTCATGATCTTTAATGACGCGATTCAATAGTTCGGGAAATCCCGAACATTAAATCCCGTGTCTCCTACGCCAAACTGTATGCGAAAGACCCTAGCCCACCAGAAGTCGTCGGTTGAGAGGGATTATCCCTAGTCTCTTCTTTGCGGTGACTAATTTGAGTCGAATAAACGCAGAAGACTGGGTTAAAGTATCATTCATAAATTATGTAAGGTACTTGTTAGACTACGATCTACGGTACTTCAAACTTAAAGGCCTACCTCATTCACATGAACAAGCTTCCTCTCATAATCCACACTTAATAATCCATACTTAATAATCCAAAAGTATTTTACCTACCCTCTTTTTTAATTAACGTAAGATTTCTTCACTTCACGCTTCCTGGAATAAGCATACATTCTTTATTATCCATAAACTGATGACGTTTCTTGACACAAACTCAAGGTCGAAACTAAGACCCAAAGCAACTTCAAGCGGTTATACCTTCTATAGAAGAAAGCGCACATCAAATGAGCATCCACGTGTAAGCTACGTTCATCGTAAGCAAATACATCTCAAGAAAACTTTTACTCCCCCAAAGACGTCGGGGTGTAAACTTGGTAAAACGGAGCAGCGAGTCACCATGCCACTTCACACGATATCCTGGGGGCTCGCATGCCACAAAGAAAAATGCACGAAGAAACCTGGAGGTCCGGAAACTGCGTTCGAAGGAGCACGTGGGGCAGTGGGGCTCATGAGTGGCTTCCAAATTCAGTTAACAGCTTGTGACGATTACTATCAAAGTAAATGCTGCATTGAAAGGCACGGCACGACTGTTCGACGGTTGCCGAAAGCTGGAAGAATTGGCTGCAGACGGCCCCTGAGTGTCCGAGAAATCCCCTCCTGGAGGTACCAGATAGACTGTAGTGGCGATGGGTGATGACCGTGTTCTCAGACCCAAAAGTCTAAGCAAATGCTGGGCACAGTACCGACGACAAGGAAAATGTCGATCCTACCGTCGAATACCACGTCAGTGCCAACTTCGCTGAAAAGATCATGATGTGCGCCGCACGATATCAGGCAAGGACATTGGCCGTCCCTTGCATAACGCACGAAAGCGTGGTGCCTTTCATAATGCATGGAAGCGTGGTGCCTTTCATAATGCACAGAACCGTGGTAAACGCTGATCAAGGCTAGATAAAGATAACATAAAGATATAAGCATCAAGGACAGGTAAAGATAATCCGCAAGGAGCACAACCCAAAGCTAGACAAGTTCGCCGAATGCAACCGAAAGAAAAAAGTGTGTATTTTGTTCTAGGTGGCACCTTAACACTACGCCCCTGATGAGCCAGGAGAGCTGAATAAGAGGAAAATCCGAACAGGTCGTGCCTTAAATCGTGCCTTGAATCCACCAGCAGCGTTGCAGATAAGGCCCCGAGTAGATCTCGCGCTACTCAAGAATGAGGGTTATTAAAAAACAAAACATTTGGTTGGAGACGTCCGCGACCAAGATAAAGGGAAGAATCGAGCCGAAGATTCGGTCCTTAGACAAGACCGCTGTCTAATGTCACATGCGAGGCGTCAAGAGTGGAGACGTACACAGGATTGTTTTCAGGAGGTGGGGCGAAGCTCAATGAGAACGTATTATGCCAATGTTTGATGTTCTGTCAGGAGCCATCTTCGGTGAAAAAACGTGGGTCTAAACGGAAAGCGGACCCAGCCCCGCCCCCCTTGGACGTACCATTGGGTAAGGGCAAAGGGCATGACGTGGCTATAGAAGCAGGGGGCGTGGCGAGTTGCTCTGCATCTGCGACCAATAGAGAGCGTCAAGCCGAGTTCAGTGGTGTACCGTCCAATTGTAGCTTGTGCATTATCATGCTTCCTTGTTCATTGGAGTATTTTTTCTACGGTATTTTTACTTCTATTTTTGTTTTCAATATGTGATTACGATGAATTCCAATCGCAACCGAGGCTAAAGTGTGCACTGTGCGGTACATGAGTCACATATTCATGTTTAGGAGAGAGGGGATGGTCACATGCTCGCCCTTCGCTCTCTGCATCCTCTTTTCCTATGTTTCCTTGTACTTGATGCTTTGTCATCTACCCTTCACCACTTCCTCTGGTCCTCCAACATCCGCACTGCTCTCTGTAACTCTGCCATCAGTCAATTTTAATACATTCGATCTACCAGCAGGTGTCCACCATTTTGGGTGCCACTTGCGCCACCGGCCTCGGCGGCGCTGTCTGCTCCACGGTCATGGCATCACCTCCGCCTGGCGCGCCTGGGACGCGCCTGCTGACGACCGGCCCAGCGGGACCTCTCGAGGGTCCGGCACCCGCTTCCGGTGCAGCGTCAGAGCGGACCGCCGCCGACGGTGTCCCTGTTCTCTGAGCTCGCACCGCTGTCTGGGGAGCGGCCCGTGTGTCTGGTCGCTGTGTCGGCCCCGGCTCCAGCTCCAACCGCTGTGTCGGGTCCAGCTCCAGCTCTGGCCGCTGTGTCGGTTCCGGCTCCACCTTCGGCCGCTGTGTCGGCTCCGGCTCCAGCTCCGGTCGCTGTGTCGGCTCCGGCTCCAGCTCCGGCCACTGTGTCGGCTTCTGCTCCAGCTCCGGCCGCTGTGTCTGCTCCGGCTCCAGCTCCGGCCGTTTTGTTAGCTTTGGCCGCGATGCCACCGCTCCATGGCCGCAGCGCCGCCCAAGCCTGCCGCATCGCATTTGGACGGGTGGCCCGCGAGGACTTTTTGCATGAGCGTCACCGCAGCCTGCGAGGTGGCGCCACCTTTCCTCCCAGCCTTAGTACGGCCTCCTCTATGGACCGGAGCGCCACCTATGGGATTGGCCGCGGCGCTGCGTGCGGCGCTAGCGATGGTACGCCAGCTCCGCCCGTTCTGATGCCACGCTG